ACACTCAAATTTAAGGCTATACACCATACACAGTCACAAAAATTAACAAAAGATTCATACTAATGTAAAGATATTCTAGAGTTTCTTTCTTTCCATAGAAGCTGGAGGGCCCAAACCACATTCAACAAAAGAAACCTGGTTTTATCCTTAAACCAACAGCCGGACAGACATTTAGAAACTCCATCTTCCACCTCAAGGGGTACCACAAACTCAAATGGTTCGCAGATAAAATTCCACCCTTGCAAGGCAACAATGCAGTGGACAAAAGATGGTCACGGGTCCCATCATTCTCGAAACACACGGGGCAGATTTTGGGAGACTACAAAAGCTGTGAATTTCTTCTCTACACTTTGTGAGAGGTATTTAGGCTGTTAAGCTGCTATCCACATAAAAAAAAAAAAAAAAAAAAAAAAATCAGGCTTAGCACTACCAAAGTTGCTCTTAACTCTAAGTCTCATCATGATGTCCTTGAATACTTTGGATCAAACCTTTATCTCATTGTTCCAGAACTGCTACCGATCCACCAAGCTGGTGTGTTATGTGTAGACTGAATGGGGAAAACCAACAGCACCTTTTCTTTTCTTGCTCAGGTGCACGTTATTGGTATAGGAAGTAACTTCAATTTTTTTAAGCCTTTCTCAACCATCATATGATCAAGATCACTCTGATTCGAATGTAGTTTAGATTCATTCATATATTCCTCCTTTACTAGAGCATCACATAGAAATTTTTTAGCTAGGAGATATCCAACAACCAAACATCATTCCTAATTGCGTTGTTAATATGTTGGCCACTATTTTTGTGGGACATCCCTTTTAAGGTGCCAAGAAGGTTGTATAGTTGGCTGTCGGTAGGGTTTTCCTCTAGTATCTTTGGGACGAACAGAATGCTTGAATTTTCAGGGATACCTTCTCGACCTTTTACTATTTTTTTGGATTATGTTCTTTTTCATGCTATACACTGGTATAAATGTAAACATCCTTTCTCAGATTAGCCTCTCGTCTTTGATTTTAAATGGGAGATTTTTCCTAAGGTGTCAAGAATTTTAACCCCACCTATTTCATCTCTCAATGAAATTGTTTCTCTTCTCAGAAAAGGATACTATCAGTACATCAACAAGAACTCCTTTCGAAATTTTCAGCAAGAAACGCTAATTAACTACACTACTTAATCACTCAAGCACATATGTAATGTAGTCTAACAACAAAATTAATGTTCTCAGCACTAAACCCTCTTTAAGCACATGCTAACCACAAAATGGCAACTTGGTTATGATCAAATATGATTAGAAAAGCACCTCCAGTGGTTACATAGGCAACGGTTCCCGGAGTAACTGTCACACCAACTCCATCATTTCCAGCTCTAGATTCTGTAATCACCGGATAATCCCCAGGCCCATCTGAAGCAACCACTGCATAACCATCCTACAAGAACGATTCCCAAGTGTCATGAGGCCCTCACACTTCAAAAGAATTTCAAAAATCAGACATTAGAACAACATAATGTCTTCCAATCAGAAAACAAAGCAAAAAGAAAATCCACTGAAACATAATCTATCATCTCCACTGGAAGCAAGAACGTTCTCTTCCACTCCAACCAAGCAATCCGACATCATTTCATTTCTCCAATCAAAAACCAAAGAACAAGTAAAAACCACAAACAAACTCCATCAAGCTCCACGAGTAGCAATCAAATTTTCTTCAGGTCAACTAAGAAAACGACCGATCCTAAACCTAACATAAAAACTCAAGTCCAGATGAACAAAAATTGAGCTCACTGGATAGTGGAACTACCTTAATGGAGGCTGGATAAGGAGGCAAAGGGTCAGGAGCGCGAATGTCTTGAGCCAAGACCTTACCAAGAGCATCGTGAAGAGAGACGGCAACGGGCGGGAGGCGTTGAGCGACTTCCAGCACAATTCTGAGAGCTTCATCAGGGGAAATCATGGCGGTGGACTTGACAGAAGAGAAATCCGCCATTGGAAGAGTGTTGAATCAGATGAACAGGTGTCTGAGAGAAAGAGAGAAGAAATCATTTTATAGGGTCGGATGAAGAGTGGGGTCACGAAATTGAGGCAGGGCTGACTCGACTCTTCAGCGTATCCAAGAGTGGCCATGGTTGTTCAGAAATTACCCATCAAAATTACCCCATTTGCTCGTATAATACAGTAAATTTTAGGTAAATTTTAACTTTTTTTTTTTTATTTAAAGAAAGTAAATTTACGTCCTATTTGTTGACGATTATTGGGTGTGAGTCTCACTTTCGTTAATTTAGTGGAAGACCATAGGATACCATTTGTCACAATCGCATTATTGATGACAGCGGTCTTACGATTGTACGGTACTCACTTTCCAACGACGAGTGAGCTAAGCCAATTCGTTCTTTACATCGCCTACGGCCAAGCGACATATACTCGAGCCTCTGGCCTCGATTTAACAAAATGGTTTTAAAAAACTATGGCAGAGAGAGATTTTTGAAAGAGAACGTTGTATATGTAAACAAGAGAGTGGCAACAACGGCTCACAATATATAACTATTAGTAAGGAGAAGTTAACAACTCCATTCGTATGACATTTTGGGAAGTCCAAAGCAAATCCATGACAGCTTATGCTCAAAGTGGACACTATCGTACCACTGTGGAGGATGATTCCTACTCTTTCTTTCAAAAATATCCTCAAACTTTTAAAAATTATTACATAATTTAATTTTAGATTAAGTTGACTATTTCATTTTTATTAACTTGTATTATTAAAATAATTTTAATTTACTTAAATTTTAGGATTTTATGTTTGGTAATAAATTTTAATAATTACATAAACATACAAATTGAATTAAAAAATATATATTTAAAAAAACAAAAAACAAAAATAAAATAAAATGAAAATAAAATAAAATGAAAATAAAATTAGAAAATCGAGAAAAAAAAATAATTGGAGGAAGAAGTAATACAAAATAAAAAAATAATAATAAAAGAAACAAATGAAAAAAGGGCTTTAAAATTAAAATTGCACAAAATCACTAACACTAATATTCTTTAAAAAAAATTATATTAGGTTTTAAAAAATACCCGTAAAATGTTAAAATTAACATTAACATCATTTACATTTAAAATATTTTTTTATAAATTATATATATAGAGACATTTTAGGCGTATTTTTAAATTAAAAAAAATTAAAAGTATTTTTTTAATTTAAAAAAAAAATTAATGTGTTTTTTAGTTTTTTTTGTTAAGTTTAAGAATATTAATAAAAAATTTAATAACTCAATAATGTTTTTTAAATATTCTCGATATTTTTAAAACTATTTTGAGAGTTTTAAGGATATTTTTTTTAAATAAAAATTTAGCTCTATTCATCCAAAATTAATGACGAGGGTATTTTTTTTTTTTTTTAACTTTTCTTAAAGTTTACAAAATTTAAAGATATCTTTATGCTTATGATGGTAATTACTTGTTTGACTCGTAAAAGATATTGCCAGCAAGATTACAATACAGATATCTAACATGTTCATCGAACAAAAACGCTAATTATTAGTTCAAATGTGTATGTTGATTTTTCCTATTCTTCTTTCATCTACAGTTACCGTCACTTAAACTTGCATGAAATAAAAAAAAACGTCTTGCTTGTTGGAGAGAGGAAGCTTCCGAGCCACCTTTTATATCATAACATAGCTGAAAGACAAAGGATTGACACTACTTGGATAATCCCTAGCTTTGAGGGACTGTAGATCGAAAGGTACTAAACATTATCTTTTTTTACTACGTCCAAACGACAAATTTTTATTCAAATATCAAGAATGTAAACACGAATTTGAATCTACAAAACTTAGCTTGTATTGAGGCATTATCTGAATGGTTATCGTTCGTTCATAAAAATAAAAAATAAAAAAAAATCTGTCTAAATTGATTTGTTTAAAAAATTAAAATTTTTAGTTCAACCGATCGTAGGATTGAAATACTTTAACCTCGAAGATATGTACTTTTAAGTAATTAAATTATATTTGCATTTGACATTTTAATTGATATGAATTTTATTTTTAAAATTTAATCCATAAATTAATAAAAATATTAAATAATTAATAATAAAAATTTAGTCTATACAAATTTTAAAATAATAAAATATTCTTATACATTAATAATACTTTAAACTATTTAAACTAAAAAAAAAAAGTAAAAAAATGTTAGGAAAATAATTAGTTCCCTAATTCAGTTTCGTTTTTAAAAAAAAGAGTTAAAAAAACATTTTTACCAAAGTAAAATGTAAAATGAAGGGATATTTTTACTAATATACCCTTGATTAAAAATTAAAAATTAAATACAACTCAAATTATTTATGAAGTAAAATGTAAAATAAAAGGATATTTTTACTAATATGCCCTTGATTAAAAATTAAAAATTAAAAATTAAAAATTAAATATTAAATGCGTATTTTTGAAGTATAATATAAAATGAAAGGATATTTTTACTAATATACGCTTGATTAAAAATTAAAAATTAAATAATTTGAAGTAAAATGTAAAATGAAAGGATATTTTTACTAATATACCCTTAATTAAAAATTAAAAATTAAATGCAAGTAAAATGTAAAATGTAAAATGAAAGGATATATTTACCCTTGATTAAAAATTAAATGCAACGTAAATTATTTTTGAAGTGAAAGGTAAAATAAAAGGATATTTTTATTAATATACCCTCATTAAAAATTAAAAATTAAAAAAAAAAATCCAACTCAAATTATTTTTGAAGTAAAATGTAAAATGAAAGGATATTTTTACTAATATCCCCTTGATTAAAAATTAAATGAAACTTAAATTATTTTTGAAATAAAATGTAAAATGAAAGGATATTTTTACTAATATACTATTTGATTAAAAATTAAAAATTAAAAATTAAATATTAAATGCAACTCAAAGGAAATATATATTTATTACTGAGGCGTGATTATTAAAAATAAAAAATAAAAAATAAAATAAAAGTTGAAGCTATAGCGGTGGCTGAGCAAGTTGGCGTGCTTAGAAGGGAAAAAATCCGAGCGAAATTTGGATACATTTTTCAAAACCAATCAACAAAAAGTACGCAACCCTGAGCCGTTTTCTTCAAATTCCTTCAATTTTTCTTCATTAGATTACATCTATTTGCACAAATTTCCCAATCCCAATCCCCAAATCCTCCCCCCACCTCCATGAATTTGTCAATCACAGCTTTGTACTGAATTCAGATGGCCGACACCAATTCCAATACCCCCATTGACACCGCGCCGGAGAAGAGCCCCTCCGCCTCGCCGACGAGCTCGAGGTCGGTGACTCATACTGTCAATGGCTCGCATAAGTTCGTGATCCAGGGCTACTCTTTGGCCAAGGGAATGGGACCCGGCAAGCACATTGCTAGCGATGAATTTACCGTCGGAGGGTTTCAATGGGCCGTCTACTTCTATCCGGACGGGAAGAATGTTGAGGATAATTCCACCTATGTCTCCATATTTATTGCACTGGCTAGCGACGGTACCGATGTGAGGGCGTTGTTTGAACTCACGCTTGTTGATCAGAGTGGTAAAGGGAAGCATAAGGTTCATAGCCATTTTGAGCGCTCACTCGAGAGTGGTCCCTATACTCTCAAGTATCGCGGCAGTATGTGGTATGTTTCTTGTTTACTGTGATTCTATCGACTAGGTGATCGATTCGTGAATAGGTTGCTGTTTGTAGATGTGGAACGTTTCGATCAGTGCATGTATGACCTGTGGTAGTCTTTTGATCGTGCGTCTGCAGGTTCTTGATTTTGTTTTTGTATCCATATTCATGCAAGATCATCAGGTTTCAGGTTCTATGTTAAACGTTTGGTGATTGTTTTAGTATTGATAAAATAATTTTTCATACCAAAAAGTTCTGAATTTAAATTTACTTAAGCTTCTAGGTTGATTGAGGATTGAACATGGTATCAAGATTGGAAGCCTTGTGTTCGATCCCTCAATATTGATAACCACTTGTTTGCCCTTGTACAAATTTTTAACCAGTGAAGGAGAATGCTCGAGTATTGATAGCATCTGTTCTAATCTGTTCTAATCTATCGGACTTAAGCTTTTGGGTTAAGTGGAAAATTGACAGTGATGACCAACAATCAACATTTTTTTTGTTACTGTCTACTCCGTTGGCACTAGGATTTTACCTTTTTTTTTTTCTTCCTTTTGAAAGAACAGTAATATCTTACCTCAACAAGTCTCTGTAAAATGGTTGTGATAAGTAGAAGAAGAATGAAGAACTAAGAATTTCTCCCGGATTGTAACGTGCAAGTTTAGCTGCACAAATAAATGGTGTGAGTTATATGGTCTCCTTCCCCGTGCAATATAAAAAGACCAATCACCGAGGCTCCACTCTTGTAGAAATGCTGCTTGCATTGTTTTGTGTAATGGTAGAGTTTGCTTGAGCCAAGTCGGATCTAACTCCGGTGTCCACTCAATGTGATATGGAGATACCTATGATTGAATGAGCCAATCAGGTGCTTCACAATGAAGTGATTTATGAAACACAACTTGTCAGTAGATTAATTGATCACTTTGAAATGAAATATACATCACAGTGCGAGATCAAATAAATATTTTTGGCGTGCATACTGGTATGCTATGATGACCTAAAACAGCAGACATTATGCATGGTTTAAGTTTGCTCAATTTAAGTTATCAGGGCCAAGTCTAACGGGGGACTGATGATGATACTATCAACACTGTCATCAATATTTCTTTAAGCCATTTTATTGTTTGACACTAACATTACTTTAACAGATTTTATCTTCTATATTGAACATTAAATACTGCATTATCCATTTTGAAAACTATCGGTTTGAACTTTTATTGTATCAGAATAGAAGATGAGTACTTCAATTACTCATCTAAATATTATCCATTTTGAATACAATATAAATATTTTATCTCTGAATTTCAATTTACTTCACCTAACCAAGCATATACTATATTAGAAACCAATAGAAGGAGGACTTGAACCTCCTACCGGGTGTATACTATACCAATCATGTTAGTATCTCTGTCCAGTGTTATTTTGATTTAGTTCTCCCATGGTTATTAATCTAAATTCTAACTAAGTTGTCACATTTTTAAGATGTTTTACGACTCTTAAGTCAACTTGACCCTTCAGTTTGAATCAATAATAATGTTGTTCCGATGGAACAAAACAATATATATATTTCATGCCTTTCCTATAGTTTGATTTGTGAAAATTTTAGAAGTACTGGTGTTTAGTGCAATTTGGTCAAATTAGCACTGGCTTCATAATATGGCTATTGGAAAGCCAATATTCTATTTCTTGAATGTTTGTGCAAGTAATGTTTGGGTCTCTTTTGGTTATCATTAGTAAGAGTTGCTGTCTTCTCTCTGTCTCCCACTTGCCTCTAGTGGTGTTTTCTTGGGTTGGCTCATTATCAGCTCATTCAAATTTAGTGGACTGCTATAAATTGGGAATGTTTTTGTTTTTGTTTTTGTAAACATGGATACTACATCCCTTTTGTAAATTTTAAATATCAACTAAATTGTCTCATATTTTTTTTAAAAAAAGTGAACTGTTAACCCCAGGGATTGGCCAAGTGTCAAAGAGGCAAGTTGTGGACCAAGATTTCCGCCTAATTAAGGTATTTAATATGTCTCAAGACTTAAGTTTCTTGACATCAAATATCATAAGGACAAATAAATGTCATAGCAGACTGTTGATGGTACCTATACTTTGGTCCGAACACCCACATTTATCCATACTAAAATAAAATATTGAAGGGAATGATAGTCAACTACCCTCAAACTTCTTGCTAAATAGCTTGGAAAAATCAATCGGGACATTTTTTCTGAAGGGTTTTGCTCAAAGAGAGGAATTCCCTACCTTGGTTAGGAGGCTATGGTGCTAGAAATGTTAGAATTGGAACTTTGCTTAATAATCAAAGTGGCTTTTGGTGTCTATTAGTGAAGATGAAACGTTGTGAAGGCCAAAGGGCCACTCTATTCATTATTGTGGCCTTGCTACAAATGTTTGGTTTTTTAGTTATAGATCAATAGTTGCTGCTTCTTGCTTGTGCGATGTGATAGCTAAATGCAAGAATTTTTTTGAGAAAGTCTGTTTTTTTGAGTTAGGAAATGATTGGTGTGTTATATTTTGAGGGGACAACTTGATTTATCCTTATCCTCATTAAGGATGAAGTAGGATGAGATGATGGTTAAAGAAGAGGGGGTGATATCATCAAAATAGATCTTAAAAAGCCTATGATGATATAGATTAGGACTTCACATTTTGCCATTTTGAGGAAAAATAAGGTCTAATTGGATACATAGCTTATTGAGCAAAGACTCCCTGAATTTCTTCGTTTTTGTCTTGGTAGTTGATGTGGTAAGCAGACTGCTTGATAAACAATTGTAGGAAGGTGTTCTTGTACCTTAAGTAGAAATAGGCTTCACCTTAATCATCCAACCATCAACATGCTGATAATGTATTAGTTTTTTGTTCAGAAAAGGAGGTTAAGATGGATTATCTGTGTAAAATTCTGACCAATATTTTGAGCATCTGGAAAAAATATTGGTCTTGTTAAGTCAGCCGTCTTAGTATCAAAATAGACTATGTTGTCGTCCAAGCCAAAACAGATGAAGTTTCGTTATGAGAATGGAGTTTGGCCACTCAAGTACTTTCAGAGTTAGCTTAAATCCTGCAACTCTTGGAATCCTATCGATGGTAAATGTTCCAACTAGAAGGTTATCTCTATGTTTAGAGGGTTGAACTCTTTAGCATTCTCATCTACTTCATTTCTTTTTTTCTTGTTTTTTTTAAAGGAAAAAAACCAGAAACAAAACTTTTCATTTAGTTAATCAAAAGAAACAAGTGTTCGAACGTAAATACTCCCGATGAGAGGAAAAGAAGCAAGAAAAACAAACTGAGGGAGTTATAAATATCTCCTCGTTCATACAAATGTCCTATAACGAATTATCGGAGAATAATTTAGAAGAGAATACCAATAGAGAAGCTTTGATATGTAGTGGGTCTTTTGTGAGAGAACCAACAAGAGGTCAGAGAAGTTTCTATGAGAAGTCGTAGTCTACAAAAGTAAAGCTCAAATTTTATGGATGAATAAGGTCTCTCTTTCTCGGACAGAATGGATGAATATAGTTAAAGTGGTCTGCTGAAAATTTTGGTTGCAAAGGAACCAAAGTGTCTTTGTAGAGCTGAGCATGTTCTTGATTTGTGGGGATATCATTAATTTTTTTCGTCATAGATGTGTGTGTATTATGCCAGCTAGAATAATTGCCTAGCTTATTTGACATTGAGTTTGTTGATGGTTTATTTCCCCTCTTTATTTTTTGGGACTTTTCATACTTCAATGAAAAGTTTGTCCTGTCATTATAAGAACTTCGTTGGGGGTTTTAAGATGAGAGCCCTTCCTGAGTATTCATTATTCGTCCCTTCTGTCACTAGTCTTTGACCTTTCTTTGATTTGTGAATGTAGGGGATACAAGCGTTTTCTTAGACGATCTACCCTTGAAAACTCTGACTACCTCAAGGATGATTGCTTGCAAATAAATTGTACTGTTGGAGTTGTGGTTTCGTCAATAGAACATCCACATTCACAGACAATTTCTGTTCCCGAGTCTAATATTGGAGCTCATTTTGGTGCACTGCTTGAAAATCTAGAAGGTTCAGATGTCACTTTTAATGTTGATGGGGAAAAATTTCAAGCGCACAGGTTGATATTGGCTGCTAGATCACCCATATTTCGGTCTGATTTTTTGAACATGATTGAGGGAAGTGAGGAGATCATTGTTAAAGATCTAGAACCTAACGTTTTCAAGGTATAAATATGATTAATTCGTCTTTTTACTTGTTTTTCTCTTATTATAGGTTCTGGTTTTTTTGCTTCTGCATTGGTTTTTTGCCATTAATCTCTGCATCATGTTTAGAGGTTTTATTCTGAAGTTGCTTTAATTTTCATCAGGCTTTGCTGCATTTTGTGTACACTGATTCCATCGCAGAGGATGTGGTCGTATCAGCGTCAAGTTCATCTTCTGAATCTTGTGTGGATGACAACTTTATGGCGAAATTGCTAGCGGCAGCGGATAAGTATGGTTTGGAGAGATTGAGACTGATGTGTGAATCTCATCTTTGTAAAAGCCTTTCCGTACGGTCTGTTGCACAATTACTAAGTTTCGCAGAGGAGCACCATGCCACTGAATTGAAAGCAGTTTGCCTGAGATTTGCTGCGATGAACCTCGGAGGTACTTTGTTTTTCAATTTAGTCAGTATGATCATGATAAAATGTTGAGACCGCAGAAATACTTCATTTTTCTCAAGACCATAAATATTACTCATTGATATATGCAAGTATAAAGCCCCTAGGGACTACAAAAGAGCCACACCCCAGTTAGAGTTAATTACAAAGGAGGTGTAATTGCACCGGAATTTAAGGTTAAATTATAAATTTAGTCCCGAAACTTTAATATTTGTGTCTTTTTGGTAGTTGAACTTTAAACAAGGTTTAATAGATCCAGGACGAGTTTTATGTTTTATGTTTAGTATGTTTAGTAGATTCGTTGAAAGTTCAACAACTAAATTTGTTGTAATGCAGAAAGTTCAAAGATAGAATAGACACAAACTACAAGTTCACGGGCTAAATTTGTAATTTAACCATAATTTAACGTAACATTTTTTACTATGCCCTCTTTTATTATTATTATTATTTATTTTAGTTCAAACAAGTACAGGAGCAAGGATTTGAACTTCTTAACTTCTGACTTTTAGGAGAAGCTATTAATATCTTGGCCGCTTGGGTCGACACATTCTCCCTGTTTTTTCTTTATGATACAAAATTCTAGGATTTCTCTCCGGTCATATCTCCCATAGCTTGCTTCATATAGATTCTCCAAGGGATTTTCAATTTTCTTTCATTTTTCTGGGCTCTTGTGAATTGTTGTGGACTGCTCTTTAATGAGTTATGGAACACCCATTTGACATTTAGGAGGATCTTGATTGTATTTCAACGTTTGTTTCTTCACTCACATTGAAACAGCATAAACTGTTGAACTCTCTTCCTTGATCTTGTATAAAACACTGTAGTTTCAGTTTGAGAGTATCCAGTTTGGGCATCTTTCTGCAACTAGTTACTTCAAAATGTCAAGTTTACCTCAGAATTTTGGCTTAACAAATTCTTTTTTTAGAACATATTCCATTTCTGTTACTTTCCGATCAGTGATCTTGTTGATAAGGACTACATCAGGATACCTTTCTCATCGTCTGTTGACGATAACTCATTTCCTTCCTATCCTCGAGGCCCTCATGTTTCGTCTCAAGGTGAGTTTTGGGATGACTTTTGAAAAAGTACTAAGAGTAAAAGCACTTTTCAAAGAACCAATCCCCTTTATCATTGTCTGTTGACGATAACTCATTTCCTTCCTATCCTCGAGACCCTCATGTTTTGTGTCAAGGTGAGTTTTGGGATGACTTTTGAAAAGTACTTCGAGTAAAAGCACTTTTCAAAGAACCAATCACCTTTATCATCATCTGTTGACGATAACTCATTTCCTTCCTATCCTCGAGACCTTCATGTTTTGTGTCAAGGTGAGTTTTGGAATGACTTTTGAAAAGTACTTCGAGTAAAAGCACTTTTCAAAGAACCAATCACCTTTATCATCGTCTGTTGATGATAACTCATTTCCTTCCTATCCTCGAGACCCTCATTTTTTGTATCGAGACCCTCATGTTTTGTGTCAAGGTGAGTTTTGGGATGACTTTTGAAAAGTACTTCGAGTAAAAGCACTTTTCAAAGAACCAATCACCTTTATCATCGTCTGTTGACGATAACTCATTTCGTTCCTATCTTCGAAACCCTCATGTTTCGTCTCAAGGTGAGTTTTGGGATGACTTTTGAAAAAGTACTTCGTGTAAAGCACTTTTCAAAGAACCAATCACCTTTATCATCGTCTGTTGACGATAACTCATTTCCTTCCTATCCTCGAGACCCTCATGTTTCGTCTCAAGGTGAGTTTCGGGATGACCTTTGAAAAAGTACTTTGAGTAAACGCACTTTTAAAAGAACCAATCAAACTTCTCCTTTTTTAGCGTAATTAGAATTTAAAAGATTACTAGTTAGCTAAAGGTACTTCTTACCCTTTCAAAGTTGACCCAAACTCATTTCTAAGAGCATTCATCATAGATTCTGCTGTCTCTTTGCATTCTTTCATATGGTTTTGTAAATTGAACCATTCTTGTGCAGCTGTGATGCAATCAAAAGGTTTTGAGCTTTTGAAGGAAAACAACCCTTCTCTTCAATCGGAGATCCTGAAGACACTTGCTCAACAATGTGGGGAGGTTTCTGGCAACGGATCGAAATCCCGAAGCGTGTGGGCTCAACTTTCCGACGGTGGCGATTCAAACGGAAGAAGGGTTAGACAGAGAACCCAATAACTCGAAACCATTACTATTCCTTGTGTAAATGCAAATTATGGTTTTGATGTAACATGTAAAAAAACAAACGATCGAACGAGAATAGATTCGTTTCAATATGGTTGCGAAGAACGATTCGATAGCGCAGCCAAATTAGATGTTCATTTTCTAGTTTGATATTATGGTCATGTTTGCACCATGGATTTTCTTGCCATTTTTGTTGTGTACTCATTTGCTTGAGGAAGCTTTGATTGAAATCCTGATGGTGAAAAGCAAAAGAAGGCACAGATTATATAAGATCTTTGTTTTTATGATTAAATATTTTTACTATTTTTATGATTACTCTCTTTTGGAATATACTTTTGAATATTTGTTATCTTTAAAAATATGTTTTTGTCTCCTAATTTAGTTGGAAACGGTAATCGCTAGTTTGATCATCGAAATGTAATTTGGTAGTTCATAATTTTAATATTGATGTGTTGAATGAAAGAAATATGTACTCGACTTTCGAAGTCGAAAATGTGTTTTTTTTATTGTACTATTAGATTGCATTTTTCACTCTTTCTTGCCTTCTCACTCTCTTTTTTCGTAATGGTCAAGATCCACCGCTAGCAAATATTGTCCTCTTTAGGTTTTTAGAGTTACAAGGTGGAATAGGTGCCCATTCAGATACTGTCTTTTTTTGGGCTTTTTCTTTCGGGCTTTCTCTCAAGGTTTTTGGGCTTTCCCTTATGGGCTTCCCCATCTACTAGGGAACAGGTTTCCCTCGACTTTAAAACGTGTCTTTTAGAGTTACAAAGCGGAATAGGTGCTTATCTAGATACTGTCTTTTTTAGGCTTTTCCTTTCGGACTTTCTCTTAAGGTTTTTGGAATTTCCTTAATGGGCTTTCCCGTTACACGTCTGCTAGTAAAAAGTTGCTAGGGAAAAGTTTCTTTCTCCTCTCTAACCAATGTGGGATATCACATTCTTCTCTTTTAACGAACGTGCAAAATATAGAATACTTTAAATAAATGTTTACGGAAAGCCATAATCTATAGCAACTTTAGCGTATCTACATTAAGATCAAAGGGAAATGTGCCCCTTAAACCATCCTTTTTTTAATACATGAAACATAAATAAATCCTTGGTTTGGTTGGAGGGGCACAAATAACTTTTTAAAAAATATCAACGTCGATTCATTTTCAATCTCAAATCTAATAGGTCTCGGGCCAACGTCGTAGCATATAATTTATAATGAGTTCCGACAGTATTCATAATTTCTTCAAAAAGTCGAGATGCAGTGATTAGGGGTCGAGTCACTATTGATCTGTTGCCAATGCCGAATGGAGACCATTCGTGTAAGAGTTTTGCAGGCACGTAACTAAAATTGAGTTCGAGTACATGATGATAACACGATAGTTATTAGTTAACTAGAGCTGAGTGCGACCGTATATAAATATTTAAAGAAATTATTAAATTTTGTAAAAAAAAAAAAAAAAAATTGTGATGGAGACATTAAATAATGAAAAAGATATTACATGATATTATTGATAAATGAATTAGGTAGCAAGCCAATTCCTTATCATATTGTCTCTCCTCCACTTTTCTTTTCCTTTTATTTCATTTATTATACCTTTTTTAAGTCCACAAAAAATAAATGAAAAAATATATTTTTTTTTAAAATAAAAATAGAAATGACATCACTGATTTTTCTCGGCAAATTTTTGAAATTAAAAGGTATTTTTTAAACAAAATACTGACAAGTCCACATCGATGTCACGATCATAATTGTCCAAAGCTTGTTGCATATGGCCACATGATAGATGTCCCAGTCTTGCTTGTCAAAGTCGGTTGACAAAGACGTCAACCAATTGAGTGGGGGAGGATGTCATGATGCATGTTTAAGGCGTATTGTCTATGTCCGCATGACAGATATCCCAGTCTTGCTTGTACAGGAGTGTTGTCTATGGTTGCATGTCTGTTCTAAACCCCTTTTACGTGCTTTGATCGTTACCAACTTTTAAAAAAAATTCGAATACACTTTTTTAACCTTTTTTAAACTTCAAAATTACCTTTCAATTATTTTAAAAAGTTCGAAAATATATTTACCGTTAGTACCACGTTTAAAAAATACTCATAACTTTTAAAAGTAACGTTAAAAATGGAGATAATAATGAGAGGCAGATACACCGTTTCTGTCTATATACGAACGGTAATAACTTTTTATATATATATATATATATAAATTTTAAGAAAATGGGGAGAAAATTAATAAAACTTTTTAAATTTGAAAGTATTTTTGAAAATATTATTAAAAATTTTAAAATTAACTAAATACTTTTGACTTTTTAAAAGATATTTTTATTAATTTAACACAAATAAAAATTATCCAAAATTAATGGAATTTGAAAAAGTCAACAAAAGCTGTTGTCGTCGTCGGCGGTGGATGTGGTAGTTGTCGACTGACCCTCGCCGGCGGTGAAGATAAGTTCAGGCGGCGGCGTCTGAATCAAATACAGAGTGGCAATTTCCGTAAATAAACGGAACTCGAGGGCCACTTTACCACCATATATCTAATCTAGAGAGAGAAGGTCGTCTCTCTCATCTCGCCTGCAGCTGAGCTTCTCGTGGGGCATATCTATTTCTACCTCTCTTTGTCGTTTTCTTCTTCCTCATCTTCTTCCCAAAATCAACAAATCTATACAAATTCCGAATTTCGGATTGAGAAATCGAAAATTCCATCCGATTGATCCTCATTTTTTCCAGTAATTTTGAAGCCTAATTTTCTGTTGCGATACGATCCTCCGTCTGGTGGATTTTCGCGACTAGTTTGGGTTAGGACGATGGGAAATGCCAATGGTAAGGAGGAGAGTTCTCCTGGCGGCGGTAGTGGTGGAGGAGGAGGAGCCGGAGGAAGAGGTGACGCCGATAGACAAGGTCCGGCGATTGTTAGTTCTGTGACTAGTGAAACGAGTAACGCCATTTCTTCAGATTCGATGGGAAATACTCCTCCTGATAGCCCTGGGAAGTTCCGATCCCCGATCTTGTTCGCTCCTCAGGTCACTATTTCGTTCAATCTTTCTCCCTTGTGTGTACTGTGTTTGTATCTGTCTGTTCTTTCTGCTTTTCTTACTGTTGTTTTTTGTTTGTTCGTGGGATTTGAATCATTCAATGATGTTGTTTTCATGAAAATACGTTTTTATTGTTCGGTGGAAGTTGTGTTTCTCGGGAAATTTCTGGGCAAGTTCCAGGCAAGATCCACTTCGTTGACTGCTTGAACTAAGAATGGCATCCAATAAGTTTAGTAATGTTGAGTGTTCATTATTATTGGTTTTTTCACTTTGGATCATCTGCTTAGTGCTGCGTTCTTTGAAGATTAATGGCTGAAATGTCTGTTACTGGGTTTGCCTACTCTGATCGACTATAGTTTTATATGAACAGCTGAGATTTCTCTCTAATCTTGATCCCCTTCAAGCTATTGATCAATTTAATGGAGTTGGTTGGCTGTTTAATCAATTCATGGAGCAGATTGTTACTTCTTTAATGGTTAACTCATTGATAATACATTCATCGATTTCGTAAGTGATGAGTTGTGATTAAACTTCTAGTTCCAGATTAGATTGAAATAGATCGTAAGTTCGACTTCCTCGCTTTTGAGTCGATTCACATGTGGATTTGTGATTAACCTTGGTTCTGGGTTTTGAAATGATGGTGGGCATGTATTACAAGGTTTGCAGGTTCCTGTGGCTCCCTTAGGAGGTAATGGACCAACCCATTTCAACGAAGCCTGGCAGAATGAACTCCATGAAGCTGTAGATAATCCTCCGGTGCAAGGAATTCCAACAATCATTACATGGAGCTACGGTGGCAGCAGCGTTGCTGTTGAGGGATCTTGGGACAACTGGGCGTCCAGGTTCGTGATTTTTTCGAGCCTCATGCTTCATTACATCAGTTCTACTGCATTTTGCGTAAACAATGACATATTATGTAACGTATTTTGTAGGAAGACCCTGCAGAGGTCTGGTAAAGATTTTTCGATACTTATGGTCCTTCCGTCTGGAGTATATCATTACAAGTTCACCGTCGATGGTCAACGGAGATATATTCCGGATCTTCCTTTCATAGCTGATGAGATGGGCAATGTCTTTAATCTTCTTAATGTTTCTGTAAGTGTGATTCTTCCCTCCATCTGCATTACCATCCAATCAACATGAACTTGAGTTGACTCGTTATTTGTGTTGAAAAATTATGCGTTTAAGGTCGTGTGAAAATGGAAATTACCACGTAGGTGCCAAAATACTTGCTTGATTCCATGTTAGGAGGATAAATATCTGAATCGAGGCGATAGCTTAGCTCTGCTTCTCATGTTTATAATTTCAACCTTAAGAATGTGTGATAAATGCTAATGGTTGATTGTGTAAGCACATTATTGGTCTTTTCACTCATATTGTGAGATCCCACATAGGTTGGGGAGGAGAACGAAGCATTCTTTATAAGGGTGTGAAAACCTCTCCCTAGTAGACGCGTTTTAAAAACCTTGAGTGGAAGCCCGAAAGGAAAAGCCCAAAGAGGACAATATTTGCTAGTGGTAGGCTTGGGCTGTTATACATATGTTCAATATATATGTTTAGTGATATTATCGTTTTAAACCCGGAAAGGGACTAAAGAAAAGAATGAGGATAGCTCTCCACTCCCCAGGGCTGTAAAGTTATGTAGAAACACTAGGCCATATAAGTTCTAAAAGAAAAGAAGAAAAAAAGTGTGGCAGTGTTCTCACTAAGAGAGAAAAGAAGAGAGTAAAGGAGTGAAGCAGCGCATGTGCTTACAAACCTGTTGGCTGGTCAGAATGATGCCAAAATCTTTTGGAACAAAGCCCTTTTTTTCCTTTTTGAACACTTCTCCTGAACACCAACGTGATTATCACAAGTTCTTTCTTTTCTTTTTTATTTTTAAGAAACGTGATTAGCACAAGTAATTGAGAGTTCTGTCTTGATCCTCTATCTAGCAACTGTAGACGCACCGAATACGATTCGGAAAGTCTTTTCGTTATCATATCATGGTTCTTGAATGTGTTACTTTTCAGAGAACTACTCTTGCACCTGTTTGATTGATTTGGGGTACTTAATTTTATCATTTTTGGAGGAGAAGTACGAGTTTTAGCTTTATCGGGGAATTTCCCATCTCAGTAGGAGCTTTCCGGAACCCGGTTCAATAACCTTCTCTCATAGATTCACATTTTGATTAGAAAATTATAAGAAAAAGCAGAAAAGGTGCCTATACGATAGATAATTCTGGCTCTCTTTTCCTTTCTTTTAAATTTGTGCAACGAGACACATTCATACTGTTTGCAAAGAAGACAAATGTCCTACATTTCATGGTTCTTCTTGCTTGTCATGAGTGTTTTCATTTTTCCAGTGGATTGTTCTATCGAAGTTCATTCAAAAGATACAGGAAGAGGAGCGAAATTATATGGACTAAAGTAGTTGTTCATGTGCCGAACCTAAATGAGCATTTGAGCTCTTAAAGGGGGGAAAATATATGTATACATTTACTCGCACATATGCTGTGAGATCCCACATCGGTTGGGGAGGAGAACGAAACATCCTTTATAAGGGTGTGGAAACCTCTCCCTAGCAGACGCATTGTAAAAACCTTGAGGGGAAGCCCAAAAGGGAAAACCCAAAGAGGACAATATCTGCTAGTAGTGAGCTTGGGCCGTTACAAATGGTATTAGAGCCAGACACTAGGCGATGTGCTAGCGAGGAGGCTAAGCCCCGAAAGGGGTGGACACGAGGCGGTGCATTACTTCATTTAGTTAGTGCAATGCAAAAGACAAACTGATTCTATGCATTTCATCTTCACTCTTCATTTTGGATTTGTTTCCATTCTGTAGGATAGTGTGCCTGATATTCTACAGAGCGTGGTCGAGTTCGAGGCTCCCCAATCACCAGAGACGACATACAGCCAGGCATTCCCCGGCGAGGAAGACTTCGCCAAGGAGCCAGCAGCCGTCCCATCACAGTTGCACCTCACAGTTCTAGGTATGGAGAACGCCGACGAAGCTTCGTCCTCAAAACCTCAACACGTTGTGCTTAACCACCTCTTCATAGAGAAAGGATGGGCTTCTCAGTCTGTGGTTGCCTTGGGACTTACTCATAGGTTCCATTCAAAGTATGTCACCGTCGTCCTCTTCAAACCGCTCAACAGGTAGTTATCGTCCATTTTTCGCTCTGGCTGAACATTGTAAAGGATCACGAGCTACTTCTCGCTCCATCATCCATGGAGGGAATCTTGCTTTATAGAACTGTGTTGGCCTAAGTTTGCTTGCAACAAAAAACTCTTATTCTGATCAATATTTCTTCAATCTGTGAAGAAATCTTTGTTTTTATAGAACTTGTAGGCCAAAAAAGTTTCATTACCTTTTTCAAAATGTATCAAAAGTAGTAGATTTTGATAGCATATTTGTCTGCCTCAGTTTTAGCATTCTATTCCTCAGTGTGCTACGTTTGACAAATTAATTTGGTGCCTGATTTTAGATGGATTGTTAAATAATTTTGGTTTAATTATATAAAGTATAACATTTTTGAGTTGTTTTTTTCTGATAAAGTTCAAGCTAGAAATCGATGGAATGTTGGTGAATAAAAACGCCTATCATTTGCAATTACATTTTACTTGGTAGTCTATGTTCTTGCCATTCAATAATTTTTTTAAACTTTTTAGTTTGATTTTGTAAATAAAAATTTTAATGCGGTAAAAAAATTAGTGTTACCGAGATAGAGAGTGAAATTTCAAGGGTAGATAGCAAATATTGTCTTCTTTGAGTTAATTTCTTTCGAGCTTCCCCTCAAGGCTTTAAAATATGTCTGTTAAGTGAAGGTTTCACACCCTTGTAAAGTGGCTTTAAATCGTATCTGCTAGGAAGATTTTGGGACATCACAGAATAAGAGAGTGAAATCTACACAACATCACAGAATAAGATAGTGAAATCTACACCTTTATGAAGTGTTTTGTTCTCCTCTCCAATCAATGTGGGACATCACAAAATAAGAGAGTGAAATCTACACCCTTATGAAGTGTTTTGTTCTCCTCTCCCCAAGTGAGACATCACATAAGAAGAGAATGAAATTTTGTATGTAAAGATGAAATTTAGAGATCTACAAAGGAACACCAAAAGCGAACATTAGTGTGTAAGCAAAAGGACCAAACAAAAGAGTGAAATTTTGCCTAGAGGTGAAATTTAGAGATCTACGAAGGAATACCAACAGCTAAGGTAACTCTTGGTAAGGAGAGTATCCTTACCGACACGGGAGTGCAGAAGAATAGGTAGCGAATAGGATTTACTTGGTAGTACATGCCAGAAACCATGAATGTTCACCTTAAATCTACATGGATCAAGGACCCGAATCAAGGAAGAAACCATGAATGTTCACCTTAAATCTACATGGATCAAGGACCCGAATCAAGGAACAAGTTAACTCGTGAAAACCTCCACTTGGAGAGTACTATTCTTGGCGTATACTCCTCACAATATATTTTTTTTGGACTTTTTAGTTTGATTTTGTAAATGAAAATTTTAATTTTGGAATAAAATCAACTCAATTGCACAAAATTATAGTACTTTAACAAGAGAAGTCAGTGATGAAAGAAATTCCCAGCCAGTAAATATTGAAATATTAACAACAACATTCATGACTCATGTTGATGAGCAAAAAGAAATGGATTCATTGAAATGTACTTGAACTGATATTCCCAAACACAAAAAGAAGATAGCAAATATTAATAGAAGACTCCACCACTATCTAATCTACTGAAAAAGGAAAAACAAAAAGGAAAAGGAAACAGCAAACAATACCCGCATACAGTACCATAAATTATGCAAACAAAGAGAGTAAAGATAACAGAAGAACCAAAGTAAAGCTAGTAACACGACCAAGAAGAAGAAGGGTCCTACATAGAAAGTGTTCCAGTTGGGTATATAGGTGTGCCATGGAACACAGTTGTGCTAACCTCTCTCTCTCTCTCTCGGTTGTTAGCCTCTATAGGTTCTCTTCTTTCACGTTTGATCCATTTGTCACTTGGCCATCATGATTTTAACGAATTCCTCGTAGTTAATCTGGCCATCACCATCCACGTCAGCCTCACGAATCATCTCATCGACCTCTTCGTCGGTCAATTTCTCACCAAGATTTGTCATCACGTGGCGGAGTTCAGCTGCAGAAATGAAACCATTCTGGTCCTTGTCAAACACACGGAAGGCTTCCTTCAGTTCCTCCTCAGAATCGGTGTCTTTCATCTTCCGAGCCATCAGATTCAGAAACTCAGGGAAGTCGATGGTTCCGTTACCATCAGCATCCACCTCATTGATCATGTCCTGCAGCTCAGCTTCGGTTGGATTTTGGCCAAGTGACCTCATCACAGTCCCAAGCTCCTTGGTGGTGATACAGCCTGCATCCCAATGTCAAATTATCATAAATCATGGGGACAGATCAAAATAAGAGAAGCCGAGAGAAGGGGATAATAAAATCCATAAGAGGAAAAGGAGCTAAAGATTCCAGATGGTTTATTAATTTATAGAAGAGAAATTGGTTTTCAAGAGATTGGCAAGCATGAAACATACTATGAACAGTCAAAGTTCAAACAAGGGGAAAAGCCATATACCAGGAAGGAAACATGATACTCATAGATCAGTAAAACCATTAAACGAACTTGTACAATTTAGAACTCAAGCAGAGATGGTACACGAAATAGCTCTTCGCCAGAAATTCCTAAGGTTATAGAAGCAAACGATACCGAATAATTTCATTTCCATTTTTCAACAAATAGTTGAACTCAGTCTAAGAGTAAACCATACGCATTTCTCGTCTACCAAGTGCAGGTATAAATGTGCACTCAAACCTTGACTATCCATATAGATTGCGACAGTTTCACCAGCAACACATTTGGCAAAATCACAACCGTCAACAAATCAACTAGTCAGAGTTGACAAGGAAAATTCCAGTGCAAGCTGTAAAACCTCTATGAAACAAAAGAAAATGAGCAACAGCACTTGTTCTCATTCCAGAAATCCAATTAGCACAGCACACAACATATCTTAATTGCCTAGAAAAAACTTGCGCATGCACAAAACATCATCGAACACGAACTAAGCAAAATCATTTCATAGACATCTCTCTCCGACACTCCATTACAAGATCGCCGTCCAAACCGAACTCCATGACCAAAAAACAACACAAAACAAATAAAGTCAACAGCGCAAAAGAGAACACAGTTCAAACACGCAACAGTCAGATCACAGCAGATCCAATCCACAACGCTAAATCCTCAAACAAAACTCACAAAAACATCCAAACCAGCAGCTAAAAAAAAGAACATCGCACTACCAAAACAACCTCGAATTCAACCTAAACCCTAGATCAAACACAAAACACCACAAAAACAACAACACAGACAATCAGATCTGAAAAATAAAGCTGAAAAACGCATCAAATGAAGGATAATTAACAAAAAGAGCAGAGAGAGAAAAAAGAGATCTGAGAAACGAGACCATCGCCGTCCTTGTCGAAGAGGCTGAAGGCCTCCTTGAACTCGGAGATCTGATCATCGGTGAGCTGCTCAGCCATAGTCGTCGACGGAGGAGGAAGAAAATATCAACGAGAATCCAAATCCACAGAGGTTTTGTAGAAAGAGGCAAAAAAGTCGATCTGAAGAGTCTTTCTCCAAAATGGCGTAGAAAAAACCGGAAATGCTGTGAAATTGGGCCACACGTGTCATATTCGCACGCCGCCGAGGGACTAAGCGCGCCAATTGGCTCCTCACACGTGCGCAGTTTCTGACTGGATAAGAATGTCATAAATTAAATACAAATATAGTTGGATTTTATATTAATGATTTTATTTTCTTTTTGTTAAAATAAATATAAATTTAATTTTTATATAGGTTTGATTCTAAATCTTTTAAAAATATAATTTATTTATTATATATAAATTTAAATTTTATATTTATATAACTCTAAATTTTTCACGGGATAATTTGGTAAAATTTGATAATATTTATAATTTAACATATATTCAAATTTAAAAGAAATTTAAAAATAAGAAAAAAAAATTAAAACAAAAATCTTATAAATACTTTAATTTTTAGTTTAAATTTATATCAATTCACCAATATTATATTAGATAAATTAATATTATATTAATTCACGAACTGTATTATAACCCGATAATATTTTATTTTTTAAATAAATTTATGCAAAATGAAATGAAAAATAAATATGGTATAAAATATGGATTAATTAAAACTTTATGTCATTTTTTAAAATTAAAAAAAAAATGAAATTCTATTTAACTTATTTAAGGTATGAAATCTAATATCAACCTTTTATAGATATTTGCTATTTTGTAGACATTTATGAGGTGGAAATAGATAAGGGTATTTTTGTCTTTTCTAATTCTAGGTACCAGAATAATTAATTCTTTTTGACATTTTATATCCCTAAGAATAAAGTTGGATTCTATACGTTCTTTTCATGGAGGGAGGGGTATTCTAGTCCAGAATAATTCTTTTTAATTTATTATTCCTTTTATAAATATTATCTTATAAAAAGTAAATTCACCTATATTCTCTTGGAAGGACCAGTTTTTTTTTTTTTTTTTTTTTCTACCATCCTTTTTGCTTCTTTTATTTGTTTCCACGTGTTTCAATCGCGGGGCATATCCAACAGTATGCTCTCCACCTCTCTTGAATCCTTGTCCGTCTTCCTTACGTTGGTCCTTGGCGTCTTCGAGCCCTTGTCTGTCTCCCTCAAGTTGGTCCTTGTTGTCTCTCTCACGTTCGTCTCCCTCACGTTGGTCCTTGTTATCTCCCTGTATGCTATTAACTACACTATCTTTTCCTCTACCCATGATTGTGTGTAGCTTTAGTTACTTTTATGTCAACGTAGGTATGGTCGTCTCTCAGTCTTTTTTGATTTCGCTCTCTCTGTCAGGCGCTCACTTTTGGGTTCCCCTCACCTATGAGTTTTGGCCATTGTAGCACCCCCGTCGCTCCTCCCTTCGTTTGATTAGCTCATTGCTGTGTTAAAATATCATCACTAGTCCAATAGGGTTAAGTCTAACCCTTGTATGAGTAATTATATTTATGATTTAGGATTTTAGAAATAAATTTAGGAAAATGATTTTGGGATGTTGTGAATAAATTTAAGAAAATGATTTAGGTATTTTAGGAAAAACGTTGAGAAATTTTAGGAATAGATTGACTACCCTTTAGTATAAATACCCTCCACCTTATTTCGTTCATCATCCCAAGAAATCACAAGCAATACAAAGGAGTTTCTACAGAGTTTTGTAAATCTCTTCTCGATTGATCTTAATAAAGTGCGTGAATGTTTCCCATAGAGAACAAGCAATACAAAGGAGTAGTTTCTACAGAGTGTTTTGTAAATCTCTTCTCAATTGATCTTAGT